TGAAATAATGTTGCAACCTTGGTTGGAACTGTGTGGCCACTGAAAATATTAGTTTTGACAACAAAAAAAAAAGTTTTGACAACATTTAATTTCAGGTTCGAAAACTAGATGTAGCTGACGGTCCGATTTTTAAAGCTGTCAATGGCTGTAAGTGTGACGGCCCTGCGAACGAACAAGCTACACACACATTGAAATCGTCTATTGTTTACGAAGCTATGATCGGGTCGTATGTGTGCACCAAGAAAGTTTGTTCTAGTTTACGCACTGATAAAATGATAACATTATCAAAATGATTTGTATTATCAATATTGTTGTAATATCTGATATTGATTAGAATTTATGAATGAACACTAAATAGGTATGTTATAAATTGTAGTTTATTTTAATTCACGCGTTTGAATTTACTAGACGATCACTTTTTAATATACTTGAAATACATATCAAATTATTATAAAATTATATTTTTATTAAACATAAGGTGCTCTGAAAGCAATTAATCTTTTGATAATAAACACTTCTGAGTTTTAATAACTTTAAAACAAGTAACTTCATAATTTGTGAATAATTTTTTTTCTTTTAATAGAAATATAAATTGAAGTTATACACTAAGAAATTTCACCGCATTGCTCGCAAAACATTGTCATTTTTATAAAATATTTATGAAATTATTCCAAAATAATGGCTATCATCCCTAATCCCTGTAATATTCTTATCTATTCGATTTGATAAGGACTTTAATCGGTTGATATTTTGTCGTTGCTGTAGTCGAGAATATCTTTGTTCGTTTGAAATTAATACTCTGTGCTGTTGAACGTCAACGTCAAGCTTGACGTCTGTCAAGGGTTTTAAATGTCATTAGTCAAAAACATGAAATGTTCATTCAATTTGTTTTCATTCATGTTGCGAAAGAGCAGTGTACATTGTAAAACAATATTATTTATTTGTTATATCGCTATCTGGCGCAAATTAATATTAAACTAACATACCTATAAATCTGCCGCACACGTACTTTTTATAAAGTCAAAAGACATGGTGTGAATTCGAAACATCGTAGATAAGGAAAACAAAACATCCCATTTCCTTTCTATCATCGAGTTCATGATTATGATAAAATGAGCAACTCGTCGACATCGATTGCTGATGGAACTGCTAGTTCTATTAGCAACATAGAAACTACATCGGATACCGCTCAATTATTAAGCCACGAAGATGCAAGCACTTCTAATTACACGCAGCTTAACAGATCTGTGCCATATGAGGTAAGTAGATTTTTACAAAGAACATAAAAACATTTATATTTCCGTGGGTACTATATATTTATATCTTTGTTTTTTATTTTATCATGTACAGTAATTTGAACGCGTATTAAGTAACATAGTTATTGATATTACTGGCTGGCATATGACCTCTTTGTCTAATCAGCCATTTGTTTAGTAAAACTAATATGTGTGCATAGTTAGTAAATGAGGCAATTAATTGTTCAATGTGCAGGACTCTGATGATGATCAATTTCATGGTAGCCATGGAATTAGGAGGCGACAAGCTCAACAGAAAATTGAACCTGGATCTATGAATGTTCTCTCAGCTAAATACGAAGTAAGTATGTTCAGAATGTCTATTAATTTATTCATACCCTTATTCCAGATATCCTTTGTTCCCTAATCAATAAATTCCATGATAATAATTTGTTTGTTATAAACAAATCTAATCTTAAAGATAAAAACAAACATTATTCTTCCCTTCATCTTTGTGTTTATCAAAAACAATGATTTATTTGTTATAGAAGATAAAAAAGAAAAACTATTTCCTTGAAAACTCGTTGGTGATCATTTTTTTTTAAATTAAGAATGTTTGCTTTTTTGTTAGTCACATAGCCAATAAACTGTTTTTTTTTTCAGAGTTTAGATTATGACACATGTGAGAACCACCTACTTCTTGATGAGGAGAGGAAACGAGGCTATGCTTTTATTGTGTGGAAAGATATTGCCAGATGGTTCATAATATTACTGATTGGAATAGTAACAGCTCTGATAGCATTTTTCATAGACATATGCATAGAAGAATTCTCAAAGATCAAATATAGAGAGCTGAAGAAATGTATCCTTTTTAAAGTTTCATTAAAAACTTTTGAGTGAATCATCAATACTGTAGTAATATTCAACCTTAATTATTTTAATGGTGATTCATTTTAACAAACAGTTTAAAAAGCAATTTAAGTAAATTGCAATAAATTCACAATATTCCTAAGGAATATACTTTTCCTCAACCAACAAATATGTTTATTGAATAGACATTGTTACATTTTAAAATGTTTCAATGAATTAATAAATTTATTACTTCATCAGTTATCCACAGACTAGTCCAATAAGAGCTTTAACACCTAGATGATAAAGTTGATCTTTGATGTTGATTGTTATGGAACATATTTCTGTAATACAAACAATTGCAATATGAACTGTAATACCTAGAAGATAAAGTTCTATTTTGCTTGATAGTTACCGTCATTTGATATGTGCAAGTATGAATGTGGTTATGAATATGATTTCCATGACTAATTAATAAACAGCTGTGGACAAATATGTTTTAGAAGACAAACTGTACATTCCTTATTTGCTGTGGGTGTTATCAAACATTTGCATTGTGTTTATTGGATCTATGCTGGTTGCATATGTCGAGGTAAGTTACACTATTGTAGTACTATTGTAGCATACATTAATATGTCTCTGTGTGAAATTTTGCTATGGACCAATATTATTATTATTATTTACTTCCTGCATTTAACGAAAGTCCATGTGCAATTGAAAGAATTGTGTGTTTAATTTGACTGTGGTATTGTTATTATATTTGTTATAGTTTCTTTAGCTACATTTTTTCATTCTGTACAAAAACGATCAAAACGTGAATTTGAAACGTGGCATTTCTCGGGGGCATGTCACTGAAGTCATAAAGGTTCAATGTAAAAGAATGTTTCGGGCCAATAGTCAAAAATACGGCTATAATAAATCGTTTAAGTTCGACAGTATTTCAGAATAAGCGACGGCAATGTTTCTTATTGGAGTTTTATGGAATTAGGAATAATATCAATTACGTGTTTGAGTTTGTGTATGTTAAACCGCCTTACAAAGCTAGTTACAAGACGGCTGCGTGTAGTTCGCACTTAGGGATTTCCGTAATTTACAGAATAATGAAAAATATTTAAGTACAATTTTTTTTATTGATTCGAACTCAGAATCGATAGCCGAGTTACCTCCTAGAAAATGACGCGGCTTTAAAACAACAACCTGTATTTTTAGCCTGTAGCAGCTGGCAGTGGTATTCCTCAAGTCAAATGTTACTTAAACGGAGTGAAGGTGCCGCGAGTGGTTCGGATCAAGACGCTTATCGTGAAAGCGGTCGGTGTTATCACAGCTGTCGTCGGCGGACTGGCTGGTGGCAAGGTAAACTAGTCATCTATATCTATACTTCTATACTAATATTATAAAGAGGAAAGATTTGTATATTTTGTATTTTTGTATGTTTGTAATGAATAAACTCAAAAACTACTGGACCGATTGCAATAATTTTTTCACTATTAGAAAGCTGCATTATTCAGAAGTAACATAGGCTATATAATATCACGCTAGGTCCTATAGTTGTGGAGCAGTAACCAAAAATGTTTTAAAAACGGGGGAAAAGTATCGTTTCTGAGGCCTTCCGTGGCGTGCGCTGAGCATATAGTTAAAGTTATACAAAAATGCTCTATAGATGAATTGTTCATCTTAACATTTTTTTTTATTTTTAAAAAAAAAAAACATTATTTTTAAAAAAGTCTGCGAGAGCATATGTCTACCTTTTATAGTTTACCCATATCAATCGTTTTAATGAATGGTTCAATCCTTATAAAAGTTTGCTCTAGATAACTTTTGAATTGTTCAATCGGTTACCTTAAGACTATTAATGGGGATGATGACAGGGTATGAAAATTAAAAATATAATTAGTCCGTAACTTAGGTAATAAAAAAATATTATACACGTATTTTTTTATTTTGTTGTATAATAAAACACTACTTAGATAAAACGAATCAAAGTTTAGGAGTGGGGGCTAAAACGTCATTTCTTAGTATAAAATGTACTGAGAAGTGACGTCACGCGACATTTCAAATTAATATATCTTCGAAACTATTCGTTTCCGTAAGAAAATAAAAAATACGTGTCTAATGTTTTTAAATAATCTACCAGACGGACATTGAAATAAAAATTAGTCGTCTACCCTATTAAAGACCTTAAAACAACAAAGAAAAACAAAAAAAAAATAAAAAGATGTAAATATTTTTCAATAAATGTAAAAAAACAATTAAAAAAAAAGATAATAAATATAAATAAAACGTAAAACTATGTAATAAATCTTAAGTCCCCCCGTGCGAAGCCGGGACGGGCCGCTAGTATACTAATAAATACGAAATTGTTCTTATATGTGGCAAAACCAAACGCATTTGTTATTCCACCTACCACGTAACTTAGCAAGATTTTGTTTTGGTGCTCGTAGTAAGTTAGCACATCATTATTTTATTTTTATTGCCAGTAGTGCTTTAAATCATGTCCGCTTGGAAATAAGTTCAAGGAAGAATAAGAAGAGGACTTTGGGCTTGTTACGTATGTATGTGTAGATGCAAAGGTAGAATGCGGGCTGCACCCGCTTGCCCGTACCGCTATGAGGTTTTAGATAGAATAAACCAGTGTGCAACTGACTAGCGAGTTTAATTGGCGTGCGCGTCGTTCCCTTACAAGGAGATACCTACCAGGGCTGAAAGTTTATTATGATTTATGGTAGATGTTCCGCCCACACGCACGAAGCGCTTCGCTTCAAGCTCCCTTGTGCGTACTGCTAAAGAGTGGAATTCTTTGCCAGAGTCTGTATTTCCTGAAGGGTACAACCTGGGAGTCTTCAAGGCCCGAGTGAATAGGTTGCTTATGGGACGACGTGCTACATCGTAGACCGCTCCATCGCTTACCACCAGGCGAGATAGTGGTCAAACGTCGCCCCATCAAATATATATAAAAAAAAAAGTTAACGTGAGGAATAATGGGAAAATACACTAAGCGCGAAATCTTGCCAAGTTGCCTGGCGGGGGCTACAAATACAAAATAGAATTATCTCACAGAATACCAATGTGAAGTAGTGACGTAATGTTGCTACTTTTTTAGTATATTTACACTCGAATACTGAAAAACTACTCAATTTTAGGTTGTACCTAAATATCTTGCCATCTTTGTCTTTTTACAAAGAATATAGTGACAGCAGTATACCAAAGCGTGACCTAAAGTTTGAGTGGCGTTTGAGTATTTTGACATTACCAACTTCAAAGTCAAAATCATTTATTGCAATTAGACCAGGAAGGCACTTTTGAACATCAACAATATAAATTTAAAAGTGAAGCTATTATTTGTACTTGTTTGATTATTTTTTGTATATTCAAGTACAACAACTTAACACTTACTATTACACATGAAACCTACCTACGCTACGTCAATCTTGACGTCATAGAATTATACACAAAGTATCATCATCATCATCAATGTTTGCATGTCACTTGTGAATTGTCTAAAGAATAATTTACATAAGTCAATAGTTTTCTTACGCATGTTTCAGTACACAGGTACTAAAACATTCGCAAGGAAATTTTTGTGTATCAGATTTTTTTCCTCCTATTGTAGGTATATAGCCCCTCCCCAGTCTTCTCAAACCTGAACCGTCCACAATCCTCAAATTCCCTATTCCCAAAAGGCCTAATGCCATAAAAAAATATAGATAGAGGACGAAAAAATCTAATACGTGCTCATTGTAATAAGCCTTATACTTACTTTAGATTCATAAACTTCTTTCAGTCTTCTATTTCGAACCACTATGTATTTACTATACTTCCACATAACACTTTCTTGTTCAGGAAGGGCCTATGATCCACAGTGGAGCTGTGGTAGCGGCGGGTATATCTCAAGGCAAGAGCACGACCTTCAACAAGGACTTCAAGATATTCCAGTACTTCCGCGAGGATCACGAGAAACGTGACTTTGTATCGGCGGGGGCGGCCGCCGGTGTGTCCGCGGCTTTCGGCGCTCCTATCGGTAAGACTGAACTTCGAAATATGTTTGTTTGTTTATACGGCACCCTCGTCGCTGGAACGCTGGAGAAGAAGTGTTCTGTTGTGAAAAAGCCGTAGAATACCAGACGTACCTAATGTTACGTCATGAACTCGTGACATAACATTCAAACCTTCAAGAAAAGAGCGTACTCCTTTTTAAACGGCCGGCAACGCACCTGTGACTCCTCAGGTGTTGCGGTTGTCCATGGGCGGCGCTGATCGCTTACCATCAGGTGATCCGTCTGCTCGTTTGGGTGTATACCCACGACATAAAATAAAATACTAAAGTGGTCGTTTACAAAAATTTTGGACCACATAAATGGTTGTTTCATACATACATAACTTCACGCCTGTCTCCCATGGGGGTAGGCAGAGACTATGGAACTCCAATTACTACGATTCCTACATACCTCTTTCGCTTCATTAACAGTCAGTCTGGTTGTTTCATGCCGTATTTAAACTGTCAACTTGCTTTGTAACCAAAGCAAAAGACATGTAAATGAATTCTAATAATACACATTGATTTTTAATTTTTAGGTGGAGTACTGTTCTCTCTTGAAGAAGGAACAAGTTTCTGGAACCAGGCGCTGACATGGCGAACTTTCTTCGGCACTGTGGTTTCTACGTTCACATTAAACTGCGCTCTGTCAGCGTATCATGGAAGGGCGGGAGAACTCAGCTTTCCTGGTTCGTATTTTTTTCATGCAACAATGTAGGCAATCGGATATGAAGGTAAGCAATCGCCGCTACTCATGGACACTCGCAACACCAAAGGAGTCACAAATTACGATACTGGTCTTTTGGAGATTGGGGGTGAAGGGGAGGTTTGGATCTCTAGTAACCTTACTTACACGGCGAAACAACACAAGCATTGTTTTACGCCGTTTTCTGTGAGATCGGAAAAAAGTATCAAGAAAAACGTTCCAATTACAATTCACACTCTTTCCTAGACTAGACTAATTAGGTACCTTATAGATTTATGCCCGAATACTGAAACGTTACTCAATTTTAAGTCGTGCTCAAATATCGTGCCATCTCTGTCATTTCATAAAGAATTTGTAGAGACAGAACTATATTTAAGCGCGACTTAAAATTGAGTAACGTTTCAGTATTCCGACATTAATTTGTAAGTATGATATCATGTATATATTATATAGATAACATCACGCCTTTTATATCCGAAGGGGTAGGCGTAGGTAGTAGGTAGAGGTGCACATTACGACACTTAATGCCACTTTACGATGTAACACCCACTTTTCCACTATTTATATTATGAGTCCCATGCAATAGGGGGTGAGTCTATTGCCATATACCGGGTACAGTTCCAGACTCCGTGCTACTACTGAGAATTTTAAAAAACTCCGTAATTCTTTGCCCGACCCGGGAATCGAAACCGAGACCCCTGCAGTCGCACTTGCGACCACTCGGCCAACGAGGCAGTCATATAGTATATGTAGATTAACTTTATATTTCGTTTATTCTAGGTCTCCTGAATTTAGGCAAGATGGAACCATTTCCATTTCAATTCTATGAGCTGCCCGTGTTCATGTTCTTTGGTGCGGTCGGCGGAATGCTGGGAGCTTTGTGGAATTACATCAATTACAGACTAGCTGTGTTTAGGATAAGGTAAATATTTAATTATTCGGTTTTATTATAGATCTGTTTTTCCAACCTAAATCTCTTGCCTACCTACTTAAAATATACCTTATTTTATTAGAAGTAAAGTTTTTATTCCACTGAACGTACGTACGAGTAGTCGACATAGTGACCATTTAGGTATAGTGGCGGCCGCGAACGCTATTTGTGGGTTCCTAATAATGAACCCAATGTTGATAGCAATAAAGTTTATTTTACTCTAATGAACGTGTTTTATCATCAGGTACATTGGAACTCCTTGGTTGCGAGTAGTGGAGGCATGTCTCGTGGCGGCCGCGAGTGCTACTTGTGGGTTCTTAATGATGTTCCTTCTCGACGACTGTAGACCTTTAGGAGAGGATCCTACTAAAGTGCCTTTGCAGGTATATTTCATGACTTTTGTCATTATATTATATACTAGCTTTTACCCGCGGCTTCGCTCGCGTCACAAAAGGATAAAAAGTAGCCTATGTGACATATATACCAATACATACAGCGCAATCTATGCCAATACTTTTGTTTTCCCTCGGGGGTATCTAATTTTTCCGGGATAAATAGTACCCTATTATTTAATCCAGACTTCTAACTTTACGTCTGCAAAAATTCAAAGCAATCGGTTTAGTAGTTACGGCGTGAAATCGGAACAAACAAACAAACTCACTTTCCGATTTATAATATACTAGCGACCCGCCCCGGCTTCGCACGAGTGCAATATGCATGTATTATACATACAAACCTTCCTTAAGAATCACTCTATCTATTAAAAAAAACCGCATCAAAATCCGTTGCGTAGTTTTAAAGATCTAAGCATACATACGGACATACAGCGAAAGCGACTTTGTCATATTCTATGTATTGATTCTCAAGTCAATATCAGTACTTTCCTTCTTTTGGTTGAATAGAGAGCTGTTGGGTTCAAATTCTACGTCGGGAAAAAAGTACTAGTGTATTCCAAACTCCTTGATACTGTTTTTTGTGTCCTGGCTATTTTCAACTAGTTTTAAGATCTGCATGTTTAAAAACACCTTGATTTAGATAAAATTTAAGTATTGCAAACTATTAAAAATTAAATTAGTTTAGAATTTGATAAACACTTATAATAAAAAATTGTAAAGTCAAAAATACTAACTTTTCATATTCCACAGCTATTCTGCGCGGACGGTGAATACAACGCTTTAGCAGCTATTTGGTTTCAAACGCCCGAAGCCTCAGTTCGATCATTCCTCCACGACCCAATTGGATCTTATAAACCATGGTCCATACTGGCATTCGTCGCTTGCTACTTCCTATTATCTGCCTGGACATTCGGTCTGTCAGTGTCGAGTGGGCTCTTTATACCGAATCTGTTAACGGGTGCCGCCTGGGGAAGAATGCTTGCGATTATCATACAGTATATGCTGCCTTCTAATGTGAGTAATTGTGTTTTTTATCAATTTAAAATGTATGCTTATTGGGATAAAGTTGTTTTATGAGGCCTTAGTACGAGTTTCATTTACGTTTACAGTATTCGAAACGAGTACGCGTTCAGCACTCTGATTGGCCGGCGCCAATGAACTAACCAATCAGAGCGCCGAACGCGTACTCGTTACGATTACTTTAATCGTAAAACAAACGCGTACTAAGGTCTCTGTTTGTAAAAAGTACGTAAAGCAGTAGAAAGGGATCGTGTTTTTTTTTATGGCATAAGCCGGTAAACGAGCAGACGGATCACCTGATGGTAAGCAATCGGCGTCGCCCATGGATACCTGGAACACCAGAGGCGTTACAAGTGCGTTACCGGCTTTTTGGGGATTAGGAGTTTGAGGATCGTTAGGTATTCAGGGATTGGGGAGATTGGGGAAGGGGAGGGTAATTGGGCCTCCGGTAATCTCACTCACACGACGAAACACTACGCAAGCGTTGCTTCACGTCGTTTTTCTGTGGTGTACTAAGACGGTGGGAGTTTGTAATAAACTGATTTACCATATTTGTTTCGGAACCCTTCCCTGCTCTCATCTTCATCTTTATCAATCATCGCGAGAGTCCAATGGTGGATTATAAACCTTGTCTACAAAAGAGGTTTGCCTTTATCTCCACGCCTGACAGGGTACGAGATGAGATAGGAGTTTATCAGAGAGAGCTACTGGACAGTAGCACTTTTAACATAGATTGGACAATATCTGTTAAATGTGTATTCCCTTTGTTGGCTCTTCCGGCATCCGCGAGAAGAATAGGAGTGGACAAATGTATCCTACCCTGCTGTTACCACACGGCAAAATGTTTTTCGATGTAGTAAATATTCCTTACAATAATAGGGTTTTTATTTTAATGTCCGTCTGATAGATTATTTTAAATCATTAGACACGTATTTTTTATTTTTTTACAGAAACGAATACTTTCGACGATATATTGATTTGAAATGTCGCGTGACGTCTTTTTTTTGTACATTTTATACGTAGAAATGACGTTTTAGCCTTTTAGCCCCCACTCGTATTTTTTTATTCGTTTTATCTAAGTATTATTTTTTTATACGACAAAATAAAAAAATACGTTTTTTTTATTTTTTCATTACCTAACTTACGGACTAATTAGATTTTTAATTTTCATACCCTTTTTTTATCCTAATTATGCAAGTTTGATTTGAGAGGACTGATTAGGCACTTTTTTTAATTTTTTTATTTTTGTCCAATAGACAATTAACCCAGCGAAGTACGCGCTGATTGGAGCCGTTTTTTTACTAGGTGGTGTAGTGCGCATGACTATATCATTGACAGTCATCATCATCGAGTTTTTTTGGCAGATCTCCAACGCGTTGCCCATCATAATCACACTGGTCGTCGCTAAATGTTTTTTTGACTTCTTTAATGAAGTAAGTTTTTTTTTTATAATAACATTGCCCCACACTAGGATTTTGGGGCTCCGGCTCGACGTGCAGGAGCAGGAACGGGGTGGTTTTTAGTCAGTAAGAGTCTGCCACTCCCTCCCGCCTCACCCAAGCGGGAGGAGTCATTCGATGTTTTCCCCCCTTAAAAAAAAACACTAGGATTTTCTCCTGTGTCTTGGGTTCGTTTACAAACGTACAAGTTCACATACACATAACATACAAACCGGGAATAACAGTCTGTGGATGACGCAAACAGTTGTTCCGTACGGGAAACGAATACGTGACATTGTGCAGCAGCCAGAGGCCTTAATACGAGTTTGATTTACGTTTAAAGTATTCGAAACGAGTACGCGTTCGGCACACTGATTGGCCGGCGTCAATGAAGCAACCAATCACAGCGCCGAACGCGTACTCGTTACGATTACTTTAAACGTGGAACAAACTTGTACTAAGGCCTCAGTTGCCCAGCCACCGCCGCGCCAACCAGTGGGGTCGCAGTTTGTTTGTATTTTTGAATCTTTTGTTCTTCTTGTCTTCTGAATCACTACATAATATAAAACAAAGTCGCTATCCATCGTCTGTCTGTCCCTATGTATGCTTAGATCTTTTAAACTACGCAAAAAATTATGATGCGGTTTTATTAAATAGATACAGTGATTCTTAAGGAAGGTTTATATGTATAAAACATACATATTACACCCGTGCGAAGCCGGGGCGGGTCGCTAGTAATAAATATTCCATCTGGTACATTAATATAAAACTTTAGACACTTATTTTTTCTTTTCTCACAAAATTAAATACTTCCTACGATATATTCATTTGAAATATCGTGTGACGTCACAGCGTGTCACATTTTGTAACACATTATGACGTAACGACCTCCCACTCCTAAACTTAGCGCCATTTTATCTTAGTATTGCAACTTAATACGAGAAAAAAAAATCGTGTCTAATATTTATTCATTATCTAACTGACGGACTAATTAGATTGTTAATTTTGATACCCTGGACACTACCCAATTGCGCACAAACATACATGCAGTGACCTGTATGTTTGTAACTGACTGAAGACCTTCTTTTTTGCAATCGATTAAAAATAGAAGTAACGTTATCGGATTTTAATTACTATTAATACATGTATTTGATTTTAAACTTAAGAAAAATACACTCAAATCATCAAAGTAGACTCTTGTTCTAACCTAAACCATTTTCCTAGGGCATCTACGACATACACATCCAATTGGCAGGAGTGCCCCTCCTGCCTTGGGAGCCCCCGCCGCTAGCTCACAACTTGTACGCATCAGAAGTTATGTCACACCCTGTATTCACTCTGAGAACTGTGGAGAACGTCGGCCATATTGTCGAGCTGCTAAAACTTGTTTCCTACAACGGATTCCCTGTTGTTGATCCACCTTTAGCTGATGATGTAAGTGAAATTTCTATTTTATATCTTGGTACTGTTATCATTTGAGAAATTCTGTAAGCGTGTTTTCACGTTAAAGGCTATGAACCAACCAATCAGAGCGCCGAACGCGGTTTCGTCTCAATCACGTTTAACGAAAAAAAAACAGTTAATATCACGCCTTTTATCCCCAAAGGGGTAGGCAGAGGTACATTTACGGCACTTAATGTCACTGTACTGTACAATGTAACACCCACTTCTCACTATTTACGTTATGAGTCCCATATGTAATAGGAGGTGAGCCTATTGCAGTATTGCCATATACCGGGCACATTTCCAGACTCCGTGTTACTACTGATTTTCTTTAAAAACCTGTAAAGTATTAGCAAAGCAAAGTATTAGTAATACTTTGCCCAACCCGAGAATCGAACTCGAGACCACTTACCCGGTAGTCGCACTTACCACTTGGCCAACGAGTCGAAACGAAAAAATACTTGTACTATGATTTATTGTTGTCTTGACTCAACATATTAATAATATCTGTCATATATTACAATCTTACTGCAACTAGTAAAAAATGAGTCGATTTGAAGGAGGTCCAATACACATGACTTCAACATTTCTTTTCTTTCATAGGTGGAAGTAACAACGTACAAGCGACTAAGAGGCATGATACTACGTTCTCAACTAATTGTACTGATACAGAATAAGCTTTACAACGAGAACGCCAACACGACCTGGTCGAATTTCAACGTGGATATGAACATGTTCAGAAAGGAATATCCACGGTTTCCTTCTATTGACGAGGTAAGGGAATTTTGGATAGTTAGATAAATAAATAAAAGTTCATGATAACCGAAACTATGTACTAGTCTATTTTGAATATCTAAAACTGTATTAAATTGGAAATCAAAGGACATTTGCAATTATGGCTGTCTGAATTAAGAAAATTATGCAAAAGTTTATAATTATACGACGCCCAAAGCGTGTCTAAATAGTAAAAACTTGCAAATAGCTTCACTTTTAATGTTTTTTTTATTCTAATTATTTACATTTTTGTAATTGAATTAAATAATTTTGACTTTGACTTATTTTGTGTACGTACGGAAAACAAAATGCTTACACCAGAGGGGTGCTGACATGCCGCAAATGTGGGCGAACATTCGCTGTAAAAAATGGCAGTCAGTCACCTAAGAGCACACATTACAGAAATCGGTAGAAATCGGTAAAATTTAATGATTGATTGGAATAGGGTAGTTTCCTAAATTTTATTTTAATATCCGTCTGGTACATTAATTTGGAACTTTAGACACGTATTTTTTCTTTTCTCACAAAATTAAATACTTTCGACGATATATTAATTTGAAATATCGTGTGACGTCACAGCGTGCCACATTTTGTAGCACGTTATGACGTAACAACCTTCCACTCCTAAACTTAGCGCCATTTTATCTAAGTATTGCAACGTAATACGAGAAAATAAAAAAATACGTGTCTAATATTTTTTCATTATCTAACTGACGGACTAATTAGATTTTTAATTTTGATACCCTGGAAACTACCCAATTGTAATGTAAATCTTATTCCACAGTTAGACGTAGCAGAATGGGAGAAGACATGCACGATAGACTTGCGACCGTTCATGAATCCCTCGCCTTACACTCTGCCGCATCGAGCGTCATTGCCGCGTCTCTTCAGATTGTTCCGAGCGCTCGGACTAAGGCATTTGCCTATAGTCAATGATGTCAATGAGGTAACTATTTTATACATCTATTCAAATTCAAAGTAATGTTCTAAAGCTGAAGAGTATACTTATTATTTTTTTGTGTCACATAGTCTATTTATGGTCATAAAACATTACACTACGACTGCGCAGCAACTAGCTGGTCAGAAAGTAATTCCATAGTATGGGAGTCGTTTTAAGTGACGACAATTAATAGTTCTGATAGGTTTATGGAATTTAGGATCTGTCTTGTTAGTCAAATCAACACAAAAGGCGCCATATCTCTGCGTACCACTTCTGGGAAAGACTCACACTGTATATGCTAACAAAATTTATCGTAATAACATTTACAGTGTATTAATATCATCATTTTGTTTTTAGGTCGTTGGCATGGTAACCCGCAAGGATATTGCGAGATATCGAGTATGGCGACATCGCGGCCATATGGGAATGGAGGAATTGATACTTTCTAGTGAAATTTAACATAATACTATAATGCACACGTGTCCGACCGAAGCATCATCAGTGACGAGTTCTTTCAGCCAAAATTGTACCACGGACATTCGATTGGGAATAAATCTTATGAAGACTTATGAAACAAGTTTAGTGTTGTTTTGACTAGAGGCAGTATTGTTACCCTGTCTAATACCAGTATGTTTGAAAAAATCAAGTGAAGTTTGAATGCAGTTTAGAAAGTATGATAATAATTGCACGTGCCCGTAACACTCGCATGACTGCTAGATTGTAACATCACTCTTTTCCCAAAGTATTTCATTTGCTTGTATTATGAAGTGTCATTTAATTAGTTATAGAAGTCACGACATAGATTAGTATCTACAATACTGGATAAAACAAATGCCATGTCGATTACTTTCTTCAAACTATGTATCTCGGTCGGACATTTTGCTATAGAAATAATTTTAGTGAAATTGGCAAGATTTTTTATTTTTTTACTTAATCATAGCTAAGAATTTATATTTTCATTAAGTACAGCTTTATTATTTCGTTGTACGTGTATTCGACGCCAAATATTAGGTCTGTGGAGTAGACAGATAATAAATAATTAATGCCTAATCAAAATAGTTGATGAATTTGGGTCTTAGGAAATTATGAAGTATTTATGAATAGTAAGTAGTATTTGTTTGTTTATCACTTAGTTGTTATACTATGTATTATTATTGTAGTCCTTATCAATAGAATTGTAGTAGTGGCCGGTGCAGATGAATCCTGCAATATTTATGTATTTAAAATAATTACCTACTGTATCTCTTAACAGATTCCTGCAATATTCAAAGATCTAACTTTTATGTCATTTGTAATCGTGGACAATAGTTTTCTTCTCTGCTCAGGTCTTTAGCTCACATTTAGTTTAAAAGTTATCAAACGAAATCCCATTTAAAGTTAGAGAATCACATATGTTTTTAGTTATCTGACCCATCACTTGGTAGTAAAAATATGCAGTATGATAGATATTCTTATGTAGTTAAAAATTATGGCATAATACATGTATATTTCCTAATGAATGTGATATTCTTGTTAAGATGAGACATGTACTTGAAAATTGCATAAAATTGTGATGCAATCAATATGAATATGAAAATAATTATGATGTATCGTTTATTATGACACTATTGTGATTATTTATAAGGCTAAGATTATTTAATTGTGTTATTAATAAAAGTGTTTATATGGAAAATATTTATTTTTTCTTCGTAACTCACATAATCCTTAACATAAAATTAGTTTAAATAAACAAAGTTATTTATAACATGGTCTTCGAGGCGATATCGCTTCATTGAATTGTTTATTATATTATTTTCTTCTTCTGAAGTTCAGCTAGTTGTTTTCAAACAATTCCCAGCCAATGCCAGACCATAAATTGAAGAACAAAATCACTGGTAATACAACCAAAAGTATCAGTAAGTAGTTAACAAACTCATCCATTATAGTATTGGCTTCCGCAGCTCTAAAATGAATTAAAATTATTCATTGAATTGAATAATTACTCTTCATATCAATAACATAACCTAAAAGTTTGACGCATGTTTTGACAATCGCTTGACAGATAAATGAAGCAGTCTTGTCTATGATAATATGGCAACTGCAGTGGTCTGTCGTCTATGTTTTGAATAATGAAGGTTATAGGACAAGATATTAAAATTCCGGGATTGAGACGCAGCGCATAATTGAAAAAGGAATTTGTAAAGAAAAACACAATTAAAAGAGAATTCTTTTAATGACCAAATCCTGACCATTATTAGAAATAATGTTAACATTGTTTTTTATATTAAAATTATAAGTTTTTAAACATGGAAGTCGATTATCATAATTATTATAAAACTAACAGTCCATTATCTCACTCACACACAAAACAAAGTCACAATTATTAGGATAAAAACAATTAGATTTACTTTAATTGTCAATTATATTGTAAAGTAATGCGTATTAATTTAGGCTGGGTAATTTTGCTATTTCTAAACTTATTAGCATTTTTAGTATTGATGATATTATTTGATGAAACAAGCATAATTGTTACAAAAGCTATCATAATTTCATAAAGGGCAGAAAATTAACAATAAAGGAGTATACAAACTAACATAATAATATTAACAGTGCTAGAATATATTAAACGATTTTAACTAATTAAAAATCCTCAAAAACAAATGATCACAGTTGATATGTGTGGAAAAGGCAACTGATGGCTTGTTGGGCGTCTTCAAAGTACCGTGGTTTATCTACTCTGACAATGCCGTAATCTGGTTCCAAAGCTGGCAACATTGTACTTTGTCCGGTATGACAAAGGCTCATATTTAAAGACTGGTTGTTTGTATGGGATATGAATTTGGATGGTTGAGGTGTATGGAACTTGCTCCTCATAATGTTTGTAGTCATTCTCTTAGTTCTATCAACATTCCCTTTTATTGTTACTAGCATTCTGTGGTTTTCTGGCTGGTTCAGTAACTGTGTTAGGTCCTGAGGAAAAAAGAAAAATATTTTAACACTTGTACAGATTAGATACAGATTTGTTAAAACATTAAATTCTCGAAAAATCGCATACCTTCTTAACATGTTCATATTTGGAAAACAACCACAAATAAGTTGCCATTATGCAAAACAGTTGAGTCTCGCTATTACTGAATCTCCACATGAATTTTAATATTGGCGAAATACGATCTCTCTGCAAAAGAAAAGAAGCCATTAATACGAAGAAAACAATGCAAATTCACGATATTTATATTCTGAAGAGGTACACACAATGTAACACCCACTGATCGACAGTTACAAGTCCCATGTAATATTTTTTTTAGGGGTTTGTATCATCGAATGACTTCTCCCGCCTGGGTGAGGCGGGAGGGAGGGAGTGTCAGACTGTTACTGACTAAAAACCACCCCGTTCCTACTACTGCACGTCGAGCCGGAGCCCCGTAACCCGTTAGGTTCTCCGCGGTTTCGTATCGGCAAGTCCCATGTAATTGAGGCAAGTATTACCTCTATCAGATCTTGACTTTGAGTGTTTACTGTGAATTTTGAAACAACCCTATTAATTAACTTTTTTGTTTAAATCCTTGCTTACGTCGCGCGAATAAGGCAATTCACGAACAAGATTACAAGTAGTTATGTATATTATTAATATTAACAGCTAATTACCAAGTATATCTTCGGTCCAGTGATCCTATATCTAGTCAAATTGACGAGCACGGCCGCAGCAGATTTCAGCACTTCTATACTAGATATGGATCTGTTTGTCACTGACATGTAAGTGTACACACGATGCACAATGGCTGACGCATTGTCGTTGTACAACATCGGAAATACTTCTGTTAATAACTCTGCAAGAAATAACACAAGTTGTTAGGAAATTAGGAATAGTGACGTGAAACACGTTCATGTAACTTCCACTTGTCGGAAGTTATTATTAAAACTAGATCCATTTCATGAGGCGCGACGGTATCACCAGCCAGGAGGCCCTATTTTCTACTCCAAGCAACTGAGAGATCTTAGAGATCTTCAAAAACAGAAAAACTTAGAATCTTAAGACTTAGGATTAACCCTCAGAACTGCGGTTGGAACTTACGACCTTTCACCCAACGAGTCAATAATAAGAAATGTACATTTACTATGTGTTTATTCTAACTTACCAAGAGATCTAAATGCTTTAATAACAGTTTCGATGCCGCTGATATTCCTGAGCACCTCCATAGCTTCCTCGTTGCGCTCCTTCATAGACTCCTGGGTGGACTTTAGCCCACCGTCGCGCCATCTGCGCCTGATTGCCGCCACGCGCTTGTCATGAGCTATGTCCATTCTTGCTTTATGTCCTCGGAATAACGCCTAAAACGTATAGGTAGAATATAATATCACAAATTTTGATCACTATATTACATTCATTGATATTTTATAGACAAAAATTCACCTGAATCTTAGAAGCTGCCCAGTAGACTCTCTTCTCTTCCCTAATCTTTTCAATATGTTCTCTCTTCAACTGAATCTGTTTTCTCACCAAGTATCCTCTGATTATAGCTTGGAACTTGACTATAATCCTTCTTTTTTGTGTAAATTCGCAGCGTATCAGTCTCGTTAGTAATTTACCTTTCCATATTGTCTGAATGAATCTCACCCGTTGTATGTATTTTACGTACCATGAACGTACTAGATATCGTCTTACGTGTTTCTGCAAGCAAATTGCTGCTTGTAACCTTTGAGCTTTCAGAAGGTCGCGCTTCTTTTTAAGTCTATAGGCCGCCTGTATTGTCACCGCTGCCGATCGCATTCTGAAGAAACGTCTTCTATCAATGAAGCTCCGAACATGACTCTGCAACTTAATAATGGAAGTTCTTGTCTTAACATATCTTTGTCGTTCTGTGATCGCCATCTTGTATGAGCGGTAGAATCTCTGAATGCACAAAGTAGCTTCTCTTATAGCCACAAATCTCTTACGAAGTATAAGCATTCTGACTACAGACTGAGTCAGTATTGTATACTTTTTCAACGTTAAATAATCTTGACGGCACACGTCGCGTTTTTTTGTAGCAACATACCAGTTTTCTATTTTCTGAGCAGCTTCATTTTCTCTCATAATACGAGCTAATTTCTTTGCTCGATATCTGTTCTGTATTATTATAACAGCCTTTCTAAGCGTTTGGTATTCATTTTGAATCCTTCTAGTTTCTCTGATTAGTCTAAAACGTCTCTGAATTAGGATGGTAGCTGATTTGATTTTGTTATATTCAATTCGTTGGCGTTTGCCACTTACATACGCTTGGAACGCCGCCTGAATAGTAGTACAAGCCTTGAGTATGTTTGTATAATTTTGTCTTTCTTTCAACATGAGGCAATATGATCTAAATCTCCTTTGGATAACAATAGCAGCTGACTTCTTGTCCAGATATAATTTCCTATCCTTCCTCATTGCAAGTAGAGCCCTATATCTTCTTTGTAAGACAATGGCAGATTGTTTCAAATCAATATACTCTTTCCTTTGCTTCCTGCCTGCAATTATAGCTCTGTAGAATCTCTGAATCACAATACACTTTGTCAACATTGTAGTGTACATAGTTCTTGTCGATATCATAAGTTTTTGAGCTCTAAATCTGTTCTGGATTGTCTTAGCAGCATTTTGCAAGTGTAAATAAGCTTGCCTGTCTCTTCTCATTGCAAGGATGGCCTTGTACTTTTGTTGTAAATGTGTAAGCACAAGTTTGGTTCTTAAATATTTTCCTCTTTCGGCTCTCATGGCACAAACACTTCTGTATCTTCTCTGGATACATAGAGTCGCGTTCCGAAGCCGACGGTAATCTTCTTTGGCTGCCTTAGTTAGTCTATAACGTTTATAATAGTCTCCTATAAGAATTGCAGCGTTTTTCATTTGTATATACGATGCCCTTTGCTTCTTGGTTTCCAAATGCGATTTGTAGTATCTCTGGATAGTAACTGTGGCTGTTTTTATTTTAATATATTGCTGTCTCATGGTCTTCATTTCGATATACGATCTGTAATAAGTTTGAATGCGAATTGTTGCGGTTCTAATTCGAATAAACTCTTGTCTCTGTTTCCTTCCGATAACATACGCTCTGTATATCTTCTGGATAGTTACGCAAGCTTGTTTCGCTTGCTGGTATTGCTGTTGTACTTCTTTGCCCTTCTTGAAACTTCTAAACCAGTTCTGGATTTTAATGGCAGATGTTTTCAATGCCAAGTATTTCTTTCTTTGCTCCCTGCCCAGAGTAAACGCCCGGTAAGCATTTTGGATAGTTATGCAAGATGACTTAAGATTTAGATACATGGCCTTTTGTTTGCGCATTTTCACCAAGGCTACATATCTATGTTGAATGACGATAGTTGCTTGACGAAGTTTAGAATATTCTTCTTTTTGTTTACGCATCAAACATTGTGCTCTAAACCTTCTTTGTATAACTATTACAGATTTCTTCAGGCATAAATATTCAGATCTCTCTTTACGTGTAAGTAGCAAGTCTTTGTAGGACCTCTGTAGAGTTACTGCGGCATTTCTTAATCGCAGATAAGCGTTTCTTTGAGCTTTCGCTTCTAAATACGAACGCAAGTATCTTTGAATGACAATTGTGGACTGTTGTAGTCGTAAGTAGTCTTGTCTCAATTTTTTCATGATCAAATATGACTTAATGTATGTTTGAAGTATAATGGCTGCATTCTTGACACGAAGAAATTCTTCTTTTTCTTTTTTCATTAATTGGTGAGCTCTGACTCTCCTTTGAAGGGATATGATAAGTTGTCTCTGTCTTAAATATTCCTGTTGGCATTTCCTACGTCTGTACAAAGCCTGTACCATAATAACATTTTGTTTCAGGGCTTGATACTGGTTGCGAGCGTTTCTCATTTGAAGCAATGCTCTATAGCGTTCTTCAATTATATTAACCGCATTCTTAAGTTTCAAGTAAGATCTGCGCTGCTGTATCATTCTGTAGTAACTCTGTATGAGGATGGCGCTGCGGCGCTTAGTAGCAAAGTCTTGCTTTTGCTCTTTCATCAATAATTTGCCTCTGTACCTTTGCTGGATGCATATAACAGCCTGCTTGTATCGA